GAGTGCTGTGTACCCTTCAACTGCAGACCACAGCTCCGCGTCGCCAGCCAACGCCCAATCACTGGCTTCCCAAGACTTAACCTCCAGCCAATCAGCAACCTCGGGAAACCCCTTTCAGCAGACAAGGAAGGGAACCCCCGACACAGAAACGCAAGTACCTCCAGAGAGCTGAACTGGTGCATTTAATCTCAATTTTAACCTCATTGAGGAACTCAGTGCGAGGGTTAATTAAGTGATTGATGGTTGTTCAGATCTATACAATGGCACATATTGCTGTAAACTTGGGATTTCACATTTTCATTCTCTTAAACTAATTATTTTCCTCACTTTCTCTCTTTCTGCAACTTGTGTGTGAATGCGTGTGTTAGATTAGTTTATATGTCTTAGATTTATCCAATAAAGCCTTATTTATATGGAAAAGAGAAGTATCTTGTGTTTTGTGCTCACAAGTTAATGTCTTAAACTGCCGATCTTGTTACTATGCTAATTAATAGTGTTTTCACTATATTTTGGATATTGATATCCATTGCAGAATTGCTGTCATACGGCTCGCTCACTGAATCGCTGGCCGTCTCAGTGATCCGCCGTAAAACAGTGATTCTGTCCTAATTCCCTTGCATATTAATGGTGGAGTTCCCTTTAAAATCTTAAATGATTCCCTTTGAGCTAAATTATTGACCTGTTTCCCTTACATAAACTATCAGCAAAACGCTCGCCCGTTGCTGTCAGATCTCGATTGCCGAAAATCACATTGTGTTTGATGCAAAACCAACTTGACTAAATCAAAAGAAAAAACACTAACTGTATATTTTTGTTTTCTCAAGCAAATCAAATTTTAAAAGTCCACTGAAAACATACCTTTCTTACATTTTTGGTCAAAGACAACGTATGTTGAAGATATACATTATTGTCAACGTTATTGCCTAAGCGGTAAATACAAATAAAATGTTTATAAAAACGTGGGCTATATAAAATTTTAATAACAACAAACAAGCAGCTGAGAGCCGGCTCGCATTCCACAAGGTTGTAAATGTATCGGGTTACCATGAAACCAGGGTCTTGTTCGGCGTCCTGGGGTGTTACAAAGTATTTGTGAAATCTAGCTAACAAAATATATATTGTGTGTTGGAGTGGTCCAGACGCTACAATATTGTTCCCTTTTTTTTTGCGTATGCTCATGTCAGTTAAAGTCCTTCTCTGATTTTATTATTGTTTGCCAGGTTGCAACGTTACTTTGCAATATTTTAAATCTTTTGGGGTATTTTGCATGGTCTGTTATTGGAGTAGTGTCACCCGGGTGGGAGTTTTAACATCATAAATGATGTAACAACATAAGTGTTACATCGTGTACTAAGACCGACGGAAAATGAAAAGTTCCGATTTTCTAGGCCGATATGGCTAGGAACTATACTCTCATTCCGGCGTAATAATCAAGAAACTTTGCTGCCATACCATGGGTGCAGCAGGCGCAATGATATTACGCAGCACCTGAAAATAGTCCCCAGCACACTCCCTGTGCAACCAGGTGGTCACATTGTTTATGTTGGCGGAAGTTAGCCTATTTTCAGGCAACTTTTCCGATTATTACGCCAGAATGAGAGTATAGTTCCTAGCCATATCGGCCTAGAAAATCGCAACTTTTCATTTTCCGTCAGTCTTAGTACACGATGTAACTACAGAAGAGTCAAGTTTTAAATAAGAAAAATATCGAAACTCTTTGGTCATTTTTGAGTGAGATGCTAGTGGTCTAGTCAGATTCAATTATCTATGCTAAGCTGCAGCTAAAAGTGCTACCGCCAGACCCGGAGATCAGCTGAATGGATTCAAAAACGGTAAAACTCAACTGTTTAACTCTAGGGGAGTTGGAAAATGAGCCTATTTTCAAAAAAAGTGACGTGTTCCTTTAAGTGGGTTAAAGGATTAGTTCATCTAGAAACAAAAATTTTGTCATCATTTACTTACCCTCATGTCATTCCAAACCCATATGACCATCTTTCTTCTGTGGAACAGCAAATGTAATTTTGACAACACACTAGTTGCCCTTATCCATGCAATTACAATGAATGCCAACTCAAGCTTTCCAGAAGAGGACAATAGCAGTCCGTATCACCATATACATCAAATAAGCTAGAATCACAATATCCAGATCTGTTTGTCTGACTTCACAAAAATCCGACTGATATGGTCAGGCTGGGCCTAAAGCAGTTTTATGACATTTTAAAAAATGACAAATAATTGCTTCAGTCTGACTTAAATTAAGCTTTAAAAATGCACTTATTAAGAACAACTTACTGACTCAACTGGATGAGTCTGATTTGTAAACAAATCATTAAGAATGAGCAAACCATATTAATCAATTAATTAAAAAAGTGTTCCATGGAAAAAGTCAAATGAGTTTAAAATGACACGAGGGTAAGTAAATAATGACAGACTTTTAGTAAGTAGAAGCATATCATTTAAGTACTCCAGTATGAATGTACGATTCAAATGACATCAATGATAAATGATAAATAGAGTCTTTCCCCTCAGCGCCTATCACCGGATGAGTGAGAGCAGACGAGAAGAACACGTCCAGCTGATGCTCCTCTCAAAGCAGAGAGTCTCTCACACTGCAGATACACTACAGAGAGAAGATGAGGAGGACCCCTGCCTTTCAATGTCTCATCCCTCAGACAGGCTTGAGCCCCATTAACACACACAAACATATGGCCAGGAAGAAATGTGGGCGCACACACACACACAGCCAAACACACACAGATCATCTCTACAGGTCAGAACAAATATATTCATTTATAGGAGAAGGTTGTTAGGAGGGGGAGGGTGCTGAGGCTGTGTATTAAAGCCTTATTAAAAGTTTGGCTGTATGGGTCGCCACATGATCTGGACACTAATCACAGGAAATGAGTTTTGCTTCAAACACACACACACACACACACACACACACACACATATACACACACATACACATACACACAAACACACACCAAGCTCTTCATGCTATGTAAGAGAGGATTTCATACTATAAAATCAGTCAGAGGTGACCAGATGTCAGTAACTATTAAAAACTTGATACTGCAGATCAATCCAAAACTAATCAGTAGCGGTCGACTGATATATCACCAAGGCTTATATATCAGTCAACATTTGGCTTTTTTTTTTTAAATTATCGGCATCTGCCAATTCCAGAAGATTTTAAAATTTTTCTCACCTGCGAGTCTGAGATGGACACTCGTTTGGACTCGATGGTCGGCTGTCTGGCTATGCGGGAATAGCGTTCAGCCGCGCTCCCAGAAGACACATACGTTCCTCTCTCTTGCAATGACATCTTCCTGCCTGACAGGTGTGGCCTCTTGGGCGGAGCTTTCTTAACACCTGTCCCATTCTTCACTACACTGGAGGAGGTATCGGACCTTAGTGACACCGCAGACATCTTATCAGTCATCTCAGTGGTCTGGAAGGAGTCTGGGTCAGGGCCCACCCCCATGCAACCAGGATCACTGCTCATCGCCATGACGATGGAGTAGGAGGAGCTTGGAGGCAGGGAGGAGGGTGTGTGGGGCTCTTCGCATTAAATGTTCCACCACCAATATCGGCTTGCAGTTACAGGAAGCTGTGGCTATATAGACAGATATAGAAAGGAAGGAAGAGACAAAGAGTTTGTTACGGAAATGTAATTTCGTTAAACTGTTACACAGATTTTGGTCTTTCCTCATTCAAGTAGACAAGTACTGAATGTTAACAAGATCTCTGCTGAGTGGACTGACGTCCCTTAAAGCGCTGGTTCTCATCAGGCGTCCAGGGGCCCACTGGAGCCTCAACCAACCGTCAAACAGGCCCCAGGATTACTTAAATTAATATATTACTATTAATTAAATTACTTAATTATTATTACATTAATTATAAATATACTTAAAACAATTTAACTTTATTAAAATGCTAAAACAAGCATACATAAAGATATAAACTGAAATCAAATGTCTTTTTTCCCTCACTGCCTATTGTTTTTATTCAAAAACATACATTTCTTGAAAGTCCTGGAATCACAAAATGAATTGTAGTTCATTAATTTACTCTACCTATATCAACACTCCAAGGTTTTGTTAATAACATATGACACCAGATGAATGTATCTGATAGTGGATGATTTGTGTCAGCAAATAACGAAAGTGTTTTCTGTTATCAAATCTGTTTAGAAATTAATTTTAGTACATTTTGTGGTTTTTAAAATATATTTATTTCTGCCATTTTTATTTTGTATTTTTATTTTTTTAATTTATCTGTAAAATGTTATAATAATTGTAAATTACAATAACATTTAAATAATATTAATATACTGTAGTGTATTCTATTAATAGAGTGGGGATCCTTTGAGTCAAAAAGGTTTAGAGAGGTTGCCGTATCATTAATCTCTGCTCAACTTAATAAAAACAACTATAAACAGACAACAAAAAATATAGAAAAAAAGGAAAAATCTTATAAATTATAAAAAAATATATAATTTATAAATTATAATTATAAAAAAAAGCTTGAAGTGTTCGAACCACATACATGAAAGCTAAAAAGAAAAGATGGCAACATAGCTGGTTATATATATTCATCCAATCAAACTTCATTGCTCTCATTCCTCATCCTTCTTAAACAAGTAGAAAAATGAAAGGCTCTGGGTGAACATTATCAGTCCTCGACTTCATTTCGGACTCTAATGAGGGTCAGTTATGCCTTAATCATGTTCTCCATGGCATTCTTCTGACATTAAGTGTGTGGAGGGTGTGAATATTACTGGCAGCAAGGTGCCAATGAAGTCATCCATACATGACCAGCTAATTGAAAAAAAAAAAAAAAAGTGTGTTTCTCAGGGAGCTCAATTTCCTCAGACGAGAGATAATTAGGAGCCACCACTGTGAACAAGAACTGCTTTGTACTCACTGAATTGTGTGTGTGTTTGTGTGTGCATCCCTCAGAGCCTTTAGACTCAAATAATCTATCTATCTGTCTTTCTGGGGTTTGTTTGTGGAAGAACGAGACAGTGAGAGAGTCTTTTCCTCTATCCATACACACAGGCTGTGCATGAGACGGCTGCCCGAGACCTATTGATTAACACACTGCAGTGAGTCAACCCCACTGCAACAGAGCTTTAGAAAGCGAACAAATCATTAGGAACATTACCGGACCCTGAACCCAAACTGCACATTATATCAAATCATGAAACAGTAAAATATACTAACATAAACAAAAGGTCAAAACAAAGAAAAACACCCAACCTTTTGAATGGTAGTGTAAACTAAAATATTATTATAAATGTACAGTAACTGTAAACAAATATTTGTTATAATTTCCCATTAGAATACATTTTAAATACATTTAAAATCACATAAATAAAATAAATACTTAAAAAAAAAAAACAATTCAAATGACTAAAAAATTGCTAACACAGTCATATATTCCACTCCCAAAATCTCCCCAAATCATTTACACTGCATTTTACAATACCATTAATCCCACAGAACACAAGCATTTTCTTATGAAGCTCCTGTAAATTGAGAACAACAGATCAAATGCTATGTTCCCATTTACCCACATTACAATCAATTTATGGCAGTCAAATGTTTATCTTCTAACTGTCTGATATTCAGGACTGAGAGAATATGCAAATAGTTCACACATTGGCTGAAGTGCCCAAAATTTGCACAGACTGAGCGGGTCCCGTTCCCTGCCTGTCCGTCTGCTGGCAGCAAGGCCACTGTGCTCTCCTCTTAAATCAGTGTCTCTCTTATGATCAGACATTGTTCGCTTCATACAGAGAGAATCAGAGCAGCGCTGGACATCTGCTTGAGTCTTTGTTTTATAGATAAAAGAGGTGGAAATACAAAATACAGCTCTCTACATGGAAACGAAGAGTGATAGAAAGCAGAAGAGAACGACGTAGGAATGAATTTCTTCATCCACTCTCATAATACCGTTCCACACATCTCCCTTCATTTCTTACTGCTATTGTCTTGTTTCACATGCCACCCATTTCAGAGAATCCTCTATGAGGGCATGGAGAATTACCATAGAAATGCAGCTGAACAATAGAAATGCCATCACAACTAAATCCTTTCTGTCCTACAGCGGGCTGGAGAGACTGAGGAATGAGACAGGCTCTAGAAACAGAGCAAAATCCTGTAACGCAAATGTCAAGGGAGCCACTCTCAATTTGACGTATTTGGGACACGCTACATTATACTATTGCTCAAGGTTACCCAAAATATACAGGCCAAACATGGGAGGTTTTCTTCTCCAAGCCCCAGATGCCTTTTAAAACTGGCCCCACTAAACTGAATTGTAATGGCTGATATTAAAATGTTTTGTTGGCCTATCCATATAAGTATATTCATATATCTCCACGCATATTTCTACAAATTCTCTGAGACAGTGATCTGAATGAAACCATAGGCACAATCAATTTAACCTTAGACTGCTAAATCTGTCATCCTAAACATGAGTCAGTTTATTAAAACAAGGAAAATATATGAGCAAATGTAAAGCTGATCTAATATTGTATCTCAATGCCAAATCATCTATACAACTAAAGCATATCTGCACAGAACATGATTTTATGAATAAATACCAAGGTGAAGGTTTGGCTCATGAATATTAAATAGGTTACATGACTTGACAGTCTAGCAAGACTACCTGGCAACTTCGACACAAGCTAATTAATATTCATGAGCCAGGCCTTCACACTAACATACCAGGATCAATCCCAGGATTCTAAAACTCATTCCGGCACCACTGTCTCACAGCGCAGAGTTCAAAGAGCAACCATTTCAGCACTGGGTCAAAGCATTGTCCTCCTGCCAGGCTCAGCACTGGGGCAGTTTTTTCAATGCTACCAGAAGATTCAGACCAGGGCTGTTTCTGGGACATACAGAGAGCAAACACATTCCTACTAAGACAATGCATAAGAAATGCCTCACAATAAACCCAGGCACACTGCACTGATAATATAGATCTGTTTGAATGTAAATCAAATTTTATATCTTCATTTATGATCACACATACAGGCTCCAATCATTCAATCATTAACACCACAAACAAATAAGACTGCAAATGATGTGCATTTTAAATTAATTTTTAAATAAATATAATCTGTGTATCGATATACTCCACTATTAATAAATTAAATTAATTGGGTCCCTTTTTAAAAAATATATATTTTGTATTAAGTTATAAGGTATAAGTTACTGAACCTTTAAGTTATTAACATTAAAATCATGTTTATAGAAAATACAGATACAATTTTATCCAATAAAATGTTAATTTGAGAATCTAAATATTATATAAATATATTCAATGTTTCTAAATATATCCAACACTTTGAAACATTCAAAATTTGTTGGTAAGATTTTTTAAAGCTGTTGAAAGAAGTCTCATATGTTCACCAATGCTGCATTTATTTGATCGAAAATACATTAAAAACAGAAATATTTAGAAAAATTATTACAATTTAAAATAACTGCTTTCTATTTTACAGAGATGCACCGATTGACCTGCCAGTGATCGGAATCGGCCGATTTTTCGGATGACCGGCCAGTCAGTCTCGCGTCTAGCCGATTCTGAGCAGATCATTTTATTGCCAGCGGCGCCGGCAATGACGTCACATCAATGAATCCACGTTTTTGAACGAATCAAGTGAGTCAATGATTCAGTGGCCCATTCATAAGGACAGTCACTTGCCTCATATCTGAATGAATCAGCCGTTTGAATGAATCGGTTGAATTAATGAATAAATGACTCATTCATTAAAACAGACATTTGCCGCCACCTACTGGTGGTTTAGTCATATTTAAAAGTATCATTGCATTTTTTCAACATTTATTTCTGTTTAAAAAATATGTAAAACATTAATCTTATAAAATTATTTATGCATTTGAAATTTTGCAGTGTAAATGCATTTATGGCACCTTAGCTTAATCAAAATGTCTGTGTAAATGCATCTAATGCCACTTCAGATGCAGCTTCTGTTTCCTCAGCAGTGAAAATATAGAGTTTGTTAATACTAATTTCATTTGAATGGTAACAACTCTACAGTTTCTTATTATTCTAACTGAATTAATTGAAACAATGTAAGAATTTGATGTGAAAGATGACACATTTAATAAGGTTATGTGGAAAAAAATGACCATTTATAATCATAGTGGGAAATGACATCTGTTTTGTTACATACAGCAACTCATTTTAAGTGAACTATTTCTTCCTCTTTCCAGTCACAGAGCACTTTATTTTGAGAGTTGTTTCAGTGAGAGAAAATCTAACTTAGTCCAGATTGGGGGAATTGTAATGTTTATTAATTTCTTTTATTATGTAAAAAAAATTTTGCATTGAAATTTGCATCGATTTTTGTTTGTATATGCTGTTAATTATAGTTCTTAGAATCAGCAAAAATCGGTATCGGTAGGTTACACTTCCAAAAAATTGGAAATCGGAATCGGCCAAGAAAATTGCAATTGGTGCATCTCTACTATTTTATTATATTTTAAAACGTAACTTATTCCTGTGATGACAAAGCTGAATTTTAAGCAGCCATTACTCCAGTCCTCAGTGTCACATGATCCTTCAGAAATCATTTTATTT